GTTAACTCTGTTTTCTCCTTCACAGATGCTGCCAGACCTGCTGAGCTTTTCCAGCAACTTTGTTTTTGTAGTTTGGATTAATATTGGCCAGGATATCAGGATAAATTTATATCATACTCACAGAATCACCTTCCAGAAAACACACACCGCTGGCAGAGATGGTGGCACAGTGGTATACAGGAGGGTGGGATTTGTCCTGGGAGTCCTCAACATTGACTGTGGACCCCATGAAGTCTCATGGTTAAACATGGGTAAGACAAACCTGGACAATATCCAGGTTAGAGCTGACATGTGCTAAGTAACATTTGTGCCACATAAGTGCCAGGCAATGCCCCTCTCCAAAAGGACAGAATCTAACCACCGCTCCATGTAGATATTCAATTGCATCACCATCACTGAATAGTGGGAATGTGGAATGCTCTGCCTGGGAGGATAGTTGAGGCAGCTAAATCTCAAAAACTTTAAACAGTACGCAGATAAGCCACTTGAAATGCCATAGTGTTCAGGGTTATTGGCATTGTGCAGGAAAATGGGATTAGCATAGATAGATCAGCACAGGTCGATGGACTGATGGGTTTCCTCTGTGCTGTATAACTGTACAACTTGTCCCTCCCTCAACACTGGCGCCAGTTTTGTGTCCAATTGCATGATTGGCCCACATTAAGAATCTGTTCTGTAGTGAAGGGCAGGAGTCACATGTTGCCAGACCAGGCACAAACACCTGAAGAACTTAATGGGGTTACAGCAATCTTGGCTGTTCTTGTAGTTACCGGATATTTTGGTGAATTCAGGTTCCAATCTCTTCACAAACTCTGAGTTACAAGTCTATGCACCATCACCAGCCAGCTACAACCTACACATTGAGCAAGGTCATGAACCCACACACTAATATTCTATAATAAAACACTCCAGACAGCAGTTCTCAGGGGTTCAGGGTTAAAGCAGTGATGGGGTTGGGATCAGTTGGGAAACAACGGATGTTTTTAGATATTGTTGGAAAATTGAATTTGTCTTCTTCTGTCAAGGTATCAGCACGACTACAAAACATACAGGATTCAACTCTTCAATGCCATCTTTGAAGGAGATCTGGACACTATAGATGCCTTACTTGGAAAGATCAGGGAATCTAATGGCTGTCTCTCTCATAAGAAGTTAAAAGGTAATGATCAAGAGAGAGAGGAAGACTTTTCTATGAAGCTCCTTCAACCCTGTCTCTCAGAAACTCCTCAAACCCTCCACCTCATGATTTCTGGGCCTGTTTGAAGTGTTTGAGGGAGGTCCCTACCACTAATCATCTTTTGTCTTTGCTTTATCTTGGGCCTATCTAGAGATAGGGGAGGTGATGGCCTAGTGATATTATGGCTGGACTGTTAACCTAGAGAGCAAGGTAATATTCTGGGGATCTGGGTTCAAATCCTGCCACGGCAGATGGTGGAATGTGAATTCAATAAATATCTGGAATTAAGAGTCTAATGATGACCATGGATCCATTGTCAATTGTCGGAAAAACCCATCTGGTTCACTAATGTCCTTTAGGGAAGGAAACTGCCATTCTTACCTGGTTGGGCTTACATGTGACTCCAGACCCACAGCAATGTCAAGATGGTCTGGTCAATGGATACTGATAGAAGGGTATTGATTGATTGATGTGGTTGACTCCTAACTGCCCCCTGGGCAATTAGGGATGGGCAGTAAATGCTGGCCCAGCCAGAGACATCCATGTCATGTGAATGAATGAAAAAAAGGAGGTAGAGGATACGCCACTGCAGAGTAGCCCCAGGAGAGGATAATGAGACCGATTATTCTGTGATAGCGAGATGTACAACCACATTGGGTCAGGCAGAATGACGAGGACTTTGAGGAGCTGGGGCAGATCCATCTGCTCTCTCCAAAAGCTGGAGTGGAACTCCTTGTCTCAAACCACAGAGTGTGTGTGTGACATCAGTAGAATGGGTGGAGCCAATAGGTGGTTAGTATTGACGCTTTCAGAACCATTACCTTATACAACACTCTCCTTTGACTGTGCTGCAAGATTCGACAATTAGGTGACGTTATTAAATGTCCAGACAGTGTGATACCAGGAGGGTTCAGCATTGTCTGACAGACCTCACAGAGTTCTTTCAGGGTGTGGTGGATGGGAATCCAGATAGAGCAGGAGAAAAAGTTGCTGAAGTTAGATACTTTATCCAGAACTGTTACAGAGCAGAGTGAGGCCATTCAGCCCACGATGTCTGTGATGACTCTGAACCAGCAATTCATTCTGTACTGTTTGCCACCCTGCCCAATGTGTCAGAAAGGAAAAACTTCCTTACTTTTTGGTGGATGGGTTAAAAAATATATCGGGCCCCCCAAATGAATAGCTTCACAATGAGACATTGGTAACTGTGGAAAGGAAGCACACTGAGATCAGGTTTGGAAGTTTGATGCTTCCTCTCGAGGTTTACTGGGGGCAGTGAGGGGCTTTACAATCATTCCATCAACTTAGAAAAAAGTGTTTGATTGCAAAGACCGAACTTATAAAAATAACGTGGAGACGCAGGGTTGTATTTGGGAAGGACAATATACAGTGGGTTCAAAGAGCCTCCTACATTAATGTACACTGATGATCTGGTCAGGTCCGAGAGTTCAGGAGATCTCAGGGGAAATAGGAGATAAGCAGCGATCCCCTCTCGTTGGTACGAGCTAGCAATGTGTGGATCTTCCCTCACTCTGGGCTTTCTCACCTATGCACAGATCCAAACACCGGTCAGACCTGCCTGATGAAAGCTTTGCTAAAAATAACAAACAAAACAGAGGATATAGCCCAGGACCACAGGACTGTGGAGATTGTCAAGAAGCTAATCTCCTTCTCGAAGAAGACTGGAGACCTGAAAGCTTTTATTAATGCAGCCTACACTGACAAGATTTACAGAGGTAGGAAACTGGGCTGGATTTCCCTTCCAGACAGTAGGAACTGCCGATGCTGGAGTCAGAGGTAACATAGTGTGGAGCTGGAGGAACACAGCAGGCCAGGCAGCATCAGAGGAGCAGGAAAGTTGACGATTCGGGTCAGGACCCTTCTCAGAAATGGGGGAGGGGCAAGGGAGCACTGAAATAAATATAGAGAGGAGGGGTGGGGCTGGGGAAGGTAGGTGGGATGGTGATAGGTGAGTGCAGGTAGGCAGTGGTGGGGATTGGTCAGTGAGGGGAGAGGAGCGGAGAGGTGGGAGAGAAGATGGACAGGTTGTGTCAGGTCAAGGAGGCGGGGATGAGAGGGAGGGTTGGTCATGGGATGAGGCTGGGGGTGGGGAGATTTTGAAACTGGTAAAGCCCAAATTGAGAGCATTGGGCTGTAGGCTCCCAGGGCGGAATATGAGTTACTGCTCCCCCAGTTTGCGGGTGGTGTCATTGTGGCACTGGAGGAGGCCCAGGATGGACATGTCGTCCAGGGAGTGGGAGGGGGAGTTTGTCGCAAACAGAGCTCTACAAAGTGGTCTCCGAGCCTCCTTCGTTGGCTTTCTGTGTAAAATACTGGCCATGTTCCCGACATCAGGTTAAAGGTGAATTACAACGTGTCCCTGTTTCTAGGACAGACAAGCCTTCACATTGCTGTGGAGCGCAGAAGGTGTGACCTGGTCAAACTCTTGGTCAGAAATGGTGCTGCTGTGGATGTCATGGCTAAAGGAAGTTTCTTTCGCAACAAGAAACACAAAAAGTGTTCGTTCTATTTTGGTGAGTTCAAACAGTGAAATCTTAAATACAACAAGCATAAAGAAGATACCAACCAACACACACCCACAGGCTGACAACCGACACCAAACTGACTGACACACACTGTCTCACTGACACAAACACACACTCACTGACACACACTGTCTCACTGACACACACTGTCTGACTGACACACACTCACTGACTGACGGACACTGTCTCACTGACACACACTGTCTGACTGACACACA